AGGTGCCCTCCCTCTCATGTTCTACCCATTCTATTCCGATCCCGCACGGACCCTAGCGTAGATAATCAACTTGCAGGTATCAAGAGGCCACCCTTTGTTGGCTTTGTAATCCGAAAAGTCATTACCAGTCCATCAGCCGGTGCTCCATTCTTGTTGTAACTTTAGGTCCAATAGAAGCAAGCTTTAATCACGGGATTAGGCCGAACCTGAGCTGCGGTCTGGACAAGTGAATAGGATTGTAATTAGAGGGAAGTAGCAGGTGAAGTGAAAGGGGAGGAGGAGTGTCGTCTTAGGAAGGATCTGGCAGGCCGAGGCATGGGTGGTTGCCATGGAGCTGAGTATATCCGATCAAATTTGTGGTTTTAGTTGTGGATACTTTCTGAACCCCGAGAAATAGATCTGCAGTTGTCCATCTCCCTGACATTGGGACGAGATTGACAATTTCAACAATAGAAATGATCAGTTTTGCTACAGAAGGTAAAGTCTTCACAGCAATAGTAAATGAGGTTAGGGTATGCTATACACTACACAAAGTACATGAAATATGCAGTAATGTTACACAAAGTTCTATGGACAAAATACACAGGATTTTACATTCACTCAAAGCTTGTGTAAAGACTGTAAGCAGACACAACACTGGGCATAATGATGGAACATAGAGTATAAAACACATTTTTTAACAGTCCATCATCGTTAGGCCACTAAACACGACCTAGGTAAACTTATTTTCAAATTTCAGTTTCTATTTTATGGTCTAAGTTTTAAACCAATTCCTCACCAAAAAAATTTTAAAAGCCAACTTTTGAGAAACATTCCATACGAGGGCAAACGATATCCAGGCACTTGAAAAATTAAACATTACGGTTGTCACGAGTATTGAAAATTAGATACTTATCGATGCTAAAACTAGAATCAAAACTAGATACTCATTTCAGGACGGAAATAAACCTTTTCGGAATGATCTTGAGCTGTATCGGAACAAGTATAAGAGCACAAAGACTAGTATACACCCATGGATCATAGCGGAACATACCCACAGATTTAAGACCGTATGATACCGTATTTTCCACACTATAGGAGGCTCTGGATTATAAGGCCCGCTGTCATTGAATGGTCTATTTTTGAACTTTTTTCACAACTAAAACGCACCGGACTTTAAACGAAACACAACAGTTGGATGGGTCAGTGGGACTTTGTTTGGTGTGTTCACGGTGACTCTGGGCTTTGTTCAGTTGTGGCGTGTAGGGAGGGTGCTGTCTGGGACCAACGGATTGTCGGCACGTTAGCAGTGATTCAGTTGTTCAGTTGTGTCTAGAAGTGGCACATTGCGCTCGCTTTTTTGGTTCATTCCTCCGTTCTGTTCCTCGTCGGCGTGGAGTGATGAGTGTGGCTGCGGGTGTGTTTCGCTGTGCGGTCGCTGTCTGCTCCGTGTGTGTTTGCGTGTGCTGCGGCTTTGTAGTTTACTGAAGTGGTGCTGGGACACCTGAGTGGATTCGTGTATAGGGCGCTCTGGATTGCGGGGCACACAGTCGTTTTTTGATGGGGTTGGAGGCTTATGAGCGTGCCCTATGGTGCGGAAAATACGGTAATAGACAAGAAAGTACTATGATTTAAAGGTTGTATGGAGGATTTTTTTTTTTGTTTGTTTCAAATTGTCAGTGAAAGTTCAAAATAGAATTATAGAGATGCAGCAGCCTTGTAATTATGATGACCAAAAAAAAAGAATGAAAATCCATCAGCTGTGGACGTGGTGGGGGCAAATAAACATCAGCCAATAGATAACAAGGCTACCTCTTTATCTATTAGCTGTTGGGTTGTGAATCAAACTCCCTACGTTTCTAGCGTCACTGACTTGCCAGCACACTGGGATTACGTGGTTTACATTCGCCTCTCACGCACTGACGCCCTTTACTCAACGAACACAGCGGTTCTTTGTGCAAACTGAGAGGAGTCTACAGTTCCAAAAAGATGCAAAGTTTGTTGTAATGGCAGAAAGTCTGTTTTTGACGTCACTGAAAGAAGAAGAGAAGGGGAAAAGGAGCAAAACGCAACATTTGGAAAAGGACAAACAGTTGCTGCATTTCTCTTTCCTTGGAAAATCTTCTATACAACTTTTAAATGTTGAAAACCACATTTTACTGTCAAAACAGAGTATTTTTTTTATTTCCATCGTTGTAGGTATTGAGTATCAAGTTTGAAAACTGAGTTCAAGTTTGAAATTTTCTTAAGTATCGTGTGAGTTTCGAAAGTATTGTGACAACACAAGCAATACAATTTTGAACAGTGCCAGTAAAATTCTACACGAGCTCAACAATAGCACCTACAGCCTACAGATATGCCAATGTGTTGCTTACAGCCATTATGTTAAGCTAACTGAAGTTGATTTGATAAGATACACAAAGCCTATACCAGCTACGCACAGACAAAAAACTATAAATAATGAATGTGGTCGTCTGGGACATTTGAGCAACAGCCCAAAGTGAAAACCATAACCATCACCTCTAAAAATATAAAGGGTTTCATTCATGTCACCTCCACTATTAACAATTATTGCCTTTCGGTCAAATTAATTAAACTACATGTACAACTTTTGTCCCGTTACAGTGTCACGTGACATCAAAAAACTGTAAATCCACAAGATGTCTTCAGTGTCCGTAGGCTTTTGATGTCCGAGTCTTTCTGACAGTTCTTTCTGCCAGGTCAGTGAATGCATCATGGGAGCATATTAAACGCTGAGGTACACGAGACGGGCTCAGTCATCCATGGCCGAAAACGTGAGTCGGAACAAATACCAGCACAATCTCTAGATAAATCTACTCTATTTGCCACTAGAGTATTCAAAAGCTACAACCAGGCTATCAAGCAGCACTGGCACTCTATGATAAAAGATAGAAAATAATGAATGACATCTTAATATTTAAATGTAACCCTTTTTCCACTACACTGAATACAACGCTACAATTATTCAAGTGTGCAAGCTTAAACGCTGCACCAAATGGCTTTAGATATGAAAAAAACAACTCTAGTAGTGTTATTCATTAATTAGTGTTAGTATGACTATGCAAAAAAGACATTTAAAGGATCAAAATTAACTTGGACTATAACATCACTTGACGGTTTTATAGTGTTAATGTACATGTACATCTATTGTGCAAGGTATTGCAAAGAGGCTAAACAATAGCCAGTTAGCTCATGTTATACCACCAGCTCTAACTAAGCTTGAAAATGTGTGGCATATTATTGTTTCCTAAATTCACAAAACATCAAAGTCCACAACAAGGTACGAGTAAAAGTAGGCCAATTTCCCTTTTCAAATGATATAATAAGAATACATTGACCAAACATTAGGCTACTTAACAGCGTAATGACTGAAGTTAATGATGTGTAGTAAACATTAACATTTAGCCTACAGTAGACTGCAGTAATAATAGAGTCTTTATGTCTTTATCAACAGGCTAATATCAAAGATCTCTCAGAACACTACTTCTTCAGAGAATATGACAAGCCATATATCCATTTCTGTCACAAATAGTAGCCTTTATTATCTATTATTGAACGACACTATGCACGATTAATAATGGAAATACTGGACCTTGTAGAAGGTTCCATATGGCTGTCAGAATATTGTTAACTTCAGGCTATAGTTTGTATGATTTTTTTTTTTTTTTTTTTTTTTTTTTTTGAAGATACAGATTCATAAAGTGATTGAGCCATTTGGATAGTTTCTAGTATTTCAAGGCCTTGGTTGGCGTAAAAATATATATTTTTATGTTTTTGGCTGCGCAAGTTGGGTTTGATAATTGAAAGATCCCTGAATACCTTTTGGCTATTTTTATTTTTATTTTTTACAAATTATTATAATGCTGTTGACTGATGGAAGCATTGATGGTTTTTCAAATAACATAAAATTACATCTTCTTTTGATACACATTTAGGCCCAGTTTAGGTCCTATCCTATGTTAGTCTTGTTATTCGATATATGCAGAATTAAGTGTATTAGCACAAAAATGGAACGTAAAAATAATAAAACTATAGTTTAATAATTAAATAATTAAACTGAATTCATCGCCATTTTCACCAACAAAACTGTTAAAATAAATCTAGCATTGAATATTGAGTGACACCAGCTATTTTGTCTTCCGAGAGGAAAAATCAACTAGCCTACATGCAACACACGAGTATTTGAGATATGAGCCGCTGTACGCCAGCACTTCAAGAACAAAGGAACAAAAAAAACAAAACAAAAAAAAAGCTAGCATTGCGGCATGTTAGCGCCCAAGACTGGAGCTAACGCGATGCTAATGCTAACGTTATGATATACATGCACGAGTTTGTCAGAAAGGCTACAGCTTATTGAAAGGCTATAGGAGATAAACACCATCCCTGACCGTAAACGTCGTCAAAGGCCTTGGAGTGGGATCTACAGTATGTCGCCTTACAAACCGTGAGTATAATTTCTTATCAACTTAACAAAAGATTTTCACCTGAGTTATAACAACAAGTCTGTACAAAATACTATTACACCCATTTGAATCTTTTATAAAAGCTGTAATCAATACAGCGTCACATCAAGGTTAGATTTCACACGTAAAATATGGAAAGAGATGCTGGATTCGTAATTGCTAACGCTATAGAAAGCACTTGTTTATGTACATAGAAGCACTCATCTTCTCAGCTAAAAACTCCTTCAGAAACGCAGAAGGACCATCAAATCTTCTCATCGCGGTTAAACTTCTACTCTAAAACTCGGTAGACAGTACTAGCTAACACCTCCGCTATCCCTTTCCGCCATCTTGGAAAGGTAATGGAGACTAACCACACACTTGACTACGTCCCAACCGAACGCTGTGGCTGTGTAGCTCAAAGCCAGCCAATGCGGGACGTCCGACAGTAGGGGGGCGCTCCAGCCAAAGCCCGTCTGGGTGTCAGAGCGGGGCAGAGGGATCACTCCAGAGGAAAGTAGGCAGTATCGAGCCCATCGTAGGTTGACTTCAGCGGGGTCACAAGAGGTCATCGTAGTCCAGGAGTTTAGAGTGTTGGCGACTCTTCCACAGGCGGAACAGGCGGAAGTCAAAGTAGGTCTCGATCATTTCTTTACCTGAAGAGAAAAAAGAAGGAAAGGATTGTTAGGCTAAGGTTACAGGATAAGACATGTTGACATGTTTAGATATATCCTTCAGAGAAGTCTGGAGACGTTCTTAAATTTCTGTCTAAGGCTATGCTCAAACTGCAGCCTGATGTGATCCAAATCGGATTTTTTCACCCCTATGCAACCCCCTATCTGATCTTTTAATAACAGTCTGAACAACACAGATCCGTATTTTTTTTTCAAATGTGACCCAGGTCACTTGGATATGTGCTCCTAAAACTGATACATGTCAAAAGATATCCGATCTTTTGACATGTCCGTTCAGTCTGAACCGCCAAGTTGCATTCATCCCACCTACACGTCAGGCTTGGAGTCTAGTCAGAAAACCAGGTTAATGACTTAATTAATATTTGGGAGGATTGTCGTTTTCAGGCTGAATTGGAGGCATCTTACCGGAACCCGGCGATTTTTGACATCGTTGCCAAAGAAATGTCCGAGCACAGCTACAGGCTCCAGTGTCAACGAAAAATAAAGAGCCTGTGAGTCAAATACAAGGAGGCTAAAGACTCAAACAAACGAAGCAGCCGTGGATGTGTAACCTGTCCATTTTACGAAGAACTGGACCGTATTTTTGGAGACAAGCCCAGTGTTTAGGCGACTTCTGTCAACACTGAGCATGCTTGCTGTGTGTGACGTCATCGTGTCCTCCAGTTCACATGCAGGACACTTTTGGGTTTAAAGTTCACACTGGAGATCACATACAAGCCGCATTTAATTGGAAATGTGAATGACCTTGCAAAAAAATCGGATTGCACAAAAAAACCCGAATTGAGCAATCCTGCAAGCTGAACCTAACCTATCAAGTTTGGGTGGCTACATTTGCCCCAAGCGATTAAGTGAAGTTATGTTCTTTATTTGTCAGTCAAGTTTGTCAGTCTTTAGTTGTCAAGTACAGCTCCTCCCGTCACTGGTCCAACCTGACTAGAATGTTCTGGAGGTAGGGTAAACCAGAGACAGAGAACATGCAAACTCCACATAGAAAGGGCCCACTTGAGAATTGAGCCCGGGACCTTCTTGCTTAGAAGTGTGATTGTGTTGTTGTTGATTTCTACTTCCTACTATGCTATGATTTAATTTGTAAAATAATATACCGTATTTTTCAGACTGTAAGACACACTTAAAATCCTTTAATTTTCTCAAAAATCGACAGTGCGCCTTATAATCCCATGCACCTTATGTATTAATTCTGGTTGTGCTTACTGACCTCGAACTAATTTTAAGTGGTACACAGTGCTCAAAAATCTGTCAAAATGTTTTAGTATGATTTTGGTAAGCTACAAAGCCGCACTGCTTGATGGATTGTTGGAGCATTACGACTACCGTAGTCAGGAGTCTTGCGGAGGAAGTCCAACAGAAGCTGACCGCATTCGAAGGAGAAAGGAGCGAGTTGTTTTTCAGCGCGTATATTCTATGCAAATTAGCCATGTGGTTTTAAGTTTCTGTAAAACGTAAATAAATGTGCGCAAAGCTGCATTAAACACATTATTACTCAATGTATATTTGAGTCGTCCTTGTAGGAAATAAAAATCCAAACTTAAATGGTGCACCCACATTCACATTCATAATCCACATTTACCAAGACAGGGAGGCAACGCCGGGTGAATTACACCACGATCTGCCAATGGATCGTGGGCGCCTGGGCTAAGGATCAGTCTCAAGTGTCGTCCGTTTGTTTCGCTTAATGCAGCTTATAAACGGGTGTGCGTTATATGGTACTAGGAAAACACACACAAAATTTACTTTACCTGAAACTCAAAAAAGTATTCTGAAATGGAGTGCAAACGATGCAGCAATGTATGTATTTTTTCTTGTTTGCATCTAGGTCTTCTGTATATTCTTACAGTTAATATAAAACTTTATCAGTCTCACAGAGGAGAAACTGTGCTGCCAAATTTGACAGCAATTTTCCCATCTTTTATGTTGGAAATGAACACTTTACATTCATTCCAATTCGACAATACACAGCTTCCTTTTGATTAAACACCTTTTTAAGATAAGTGAAACGCAAACATTTTCCTGGCTGTGTCTTCAATCCCCTCAACGAACCATGGCCGTTTGAACAGAAAACTATTTACTCCAAGTGAACAAATCTGCCATGTTTTCCCAGTCCACGCGTCGTCTCCTCTGCTTTGGGACAATAGACTTTGTGCTGATGGCGTGGTGCTGTGTTGCTCGGGCCTGATTATATTGACCATGGGTATTGACTTCAGTGTCTTTGCTGAGCGTACATAGTGAGGGTGAGAAGGACGGTTTGTGGCATTGAGGTGTTCAGTGTCTACGGCGAGCTGACTCATCATTCACTGTGTCACTGCGGCCCAGAAGAAGAATGGGCTGTCACTGTGATCTCTGCTTTGACCCGATTTACATGAGTTTCTGTATGAGCTGCACTAGGGTGATTAAAGAGGGTATTAACTGCTAATGTTACCTTACCTTTTTTTTTTTGTTTGTTTTGAAGATGCGATATATGCCAAAAAGAACCTATTAACATGTTCCATCCCTTTGCCCACCCTTCAAAGTGCCATCATAACACAATGTGAGTGCGTCAGATTTGTGAAGTTGTAGAGCAGTGTTTTATATCATTCTTTTGTACATTTGTCGTGTAGGAGAATGAGTGACGTAGGCTTGTGGGCTGAGTTTTAGATAGAATCGTACTGCTGAGTGTAAGGAGAGTTCAGACAGAGCACGCAAGAGGTTTTATTTTATTATTATTATTTATATTTATTCAGAATGTACGCAATAAGCTTTTTTGCATATCTTCAAAAACTACTGTAAATGACTTAATTGTTAATATTTGTATTTATTTATTTCCAAAATACCTCTACAACTACTTCTACAACTATCGTATTTTCTGAACTATTGAGTGCACCTCAATATAAGCCGCATCAACAAAATTTTAACTACATTTTAAAATTGTACATATATAGGCCGCATTTTTTATGTTGGGGCCGTCTGCTTTTATCGGCCTCTGAAAGCTTTTGTCGTCTTTTTGCATTGAGTCAGTTCGTCACGCTGCCGTCACCAAAGTCTCACCATCGACTCACTGATGTCGAACTCACGTGCAGCAGCTCGATTTCCTTCTTCTACAGCGACATCAATCACCTTTAACTTAAAAGCTGCATCATCTGCATTTCTTTGTGTGTTTTCCATGAGGAGGTGTGTGTATGAAGTGTAAAACAATCAAACGAGCATCTTCCTCGGCGCATCACCCCCATATCTCCCCGCGCATGTCTCCTGCAAAAGTCTCTGTCCTGTCTGTATCATGTCAGTGTCTTGGAGGATTTCAGCAAATTTCAGACTCTCCCAGAGGCGAGGCTAGTTGTGTCGATCAGGTATGATTGGATGTCCGGCTCCTGAAATTTGAGACGTTTCTTCCTGTTATTTGCGCCCCCACCTGCATTTACGCATACGGGTAAGATGTATCGCCCTCACTAATGTTCATTTAGCACCATAACTTATTTTATCACATGGCAATAAACTGTTTTAGTTCGCTGACAACTTCTCGAGGTAACGCTGCACCTTCATGTTAACCCATGTGTAGCGGCTTATTGACCAACCTAATAGCTGCTTGGGAAGATCAGAGTGGGTCCTGGGGTCATGGAGGCTATTGTAAACTAATACACTGGGATCCAGAATGCATTTTGTATATTTATTACCAGACATACAGCTATCCCAGCGCAGCAAAGAAGATAGATAAAACCAGTTGGAAAATAAAGGGTGAGTATAAAGAGTGGCGGTAGACAAACATTTCGGCTACCCAGCCCTGACCCTCAATCAAAACTGGGTAACAGGTAAGTGCACACTTTTAAACCCGCACCTTCCCGCGTGAGCCCCGCCCCCTCTGCACCTACACCCTCAACCACACCATGCTCCAGTCCCGTCTCCTACACCATGTTCTATGTGTCTCTGAAATCAAGTTGTTTTGACTCATAATGGAAGAAAATTTTAAAACTTGAATGTTATTTAAAGTGCCTATGATAGGTTAGACTATTCATACAGTTAAAATTGTTATATTATATTATGTTATATACTTGCTCTCCTCAATAAGATCAATTACATCAATCCACCATTTTAAGGCATCAGTCTGAAGACACTTAAAAACACCCTGCTCTTGTTTTCGCTAAAAATACATTTTTGTTCTATGTACTTTCTGTTGTACATAGAGTTGCTTTTTTTTTTTTCACTCATTTACAAATATAAGTGGGGTGATGATCAAATCAGAGAGATGGATGTATACCTTAGGATCCTGGACTGTATAGTATGAATGCCGTCTGTGTGCTGTGTGAATGTTGTCTTTGTCTGTCTTTTGTTCTGTTTTGATTTGTTTTTCTTTCTCTTCTGTAAATGCTGCTTTTGTTAATGCATTAGGACCCCCTCGCAAATGAGATGCTACATCTCAAAGGGCTTCCCTTATAAATAAATAAATAAATAAATAAATAAAATTAAATATGTAAGCGTCTTTGAGTGTCCAAAAAAGCACTATATAAAACTGATGCATCATTATTATTATTAATGTTTTGCTAGAAAATTCACAATTATTCTCCAGGTTTGGCCTTTTTTAGGTTTACTTCCTGGTTGGAAATCATGACATATTTTTTATCTTGTGTTTTCAAATTGCTCCTTGATTGCTGTAAATTATAATTTATATTTACAGCAGATATTATCCCACCGTTTAGTAAAGATGAGAATCAGAAAAAAAACTGTTGTACTTTAAATGTTGTAGGCCCGGGTAAGGCCTTGCATTAAGACTGTACTTAGAAAACAACCACTGTTACAAATAATGTTACTTTGTCTAGTACTTATTTCTTTAGGATAAATACTGCACACTGACATTAAAAACTACTTTGGAGCTGCTCAATTAGCTGGATTGCTAGTATCTAAGATGTTAAGTGTCGCCGTCAGCTGCAGCATATGTGGGTAAAAAACAGCCCCTTGATATTTGAGAACAGTGA